TATTCCTAGGTCATAATGCTGTGGGTCTTGATAGGGCCAGTCTGGGGTACAGTCTAGGTCTTTCTATTTTAAAAGTGTCTCAGTTGATTCCTTTGTACACCCAGATTTATCAATGACTAGTCTAAAAATCTCCACGAATCAGAAAGTCACCTATGTGATAGTTATGCTCTCTTTATTACCTCATTTAAGGTTATGGTTTGGTAAGTAAGAAGTCAGTGTCTAGAAACATCTCAGTTCAGTTCCACTGTTCCACATAGCACCTGGGGCTCTGAGGCCCCCCACTCCACTAATAGTGGGGACTTCATAGAGTCTCATGCCTGCCTTCGCTGGACAATTCATGCCCTTTACACCTAGGATTTAACCTGTCTTATCCTTGTCATTAGTTCTGAATCTTTCATAGCATGCAAACACCTACTTGCCATGATCTGGATTAAGTAATCTAGAAAGACAGAATGGGCTGTATAAAAAGCAGTCATCAGGGTGTCCCCTGGTGGCGCAGCGGTTGAGCGCCGGGCTGCGAAGCTCCCTACAGCCTCTGCAGCGCTGGTTCGATCCCTGGCTGTGGCAAGGGTCCCACATGGCACGCAGACCTCTCCTGCAACCCACTGCACCCCTCAGCAGTGTACTTCATCAGTCTGCCTGCTCTGCTCCCCACTCTGGCTCTGGTGAATTCTCTCACCCTCCCGTGCTTCTGACTGTACCCAGTGCTTGTATAAATAAATAAATATTTTTTTTAAAAAAGAAGTCATCAAAAGGAATAATCCAGTCCTGCAACTAAAAAGTTCATAAAATGGGCCTGATCACAGCCATTCATGGTCCTTGTTTTCATATCTACTGAGAGTGAAAGACGAAGGTTACTTTTTGGTGGGAGTATTGTGGTGACTACATCTGAGGGGGGAATTCTGATACTCCCAAAACACAAACAAAGCTGTAAAACCATGGTACTTCAATTAAAAAAGAAGAAATAAAGAGATAAACAAGATTGTTTCTAAAGGCCTTTACAGGTATAATGAATGATCTGAGTTTCTTAGCTACTTAAGTGCACTAAGGTGTCATAACCAAGACCCTTGATATCATTTAGTCCTTGATAACATCATTTCAGCCTTGATTCCCAAAGGAATGATTTCATGTAGGAAATCAAGCATAAGCCTGGCTCTAGAAATGTCTAGAATAACTGAAATATATAACCAAATCTTAGTTATCCAACACAGTGTTTAAGCAATTAATCTAGCAGCAAACTGTATCAGCATTATGTCCATGTGATCCTTACAGAGAAAGAGCTGCATAAAACCTGCATAAAACCTGGGCATGGGTCATCTGGAAATTTAGTGTGCATGGATAACAAGTCTCCTTCCCAGGGAATGCTTCTCTTCTCTTCCTTCCAGGGCAGTCTGAGGTCTAACTGGGATCAAAAGTAACTAGTTTTTCTGTTACAGGGAGGGAAGAGCTCCTGCCATGAGTAGATTTATGCAAGCAGTGCAACCCACAGAGCTCTCTTCTTAGAAACGATCCTAAATCAACTAGGAACTTCAACACACCAAGAAATAGCAGCCATGTTAATCCTCATGATGTTTATTTGGAAACAGAAAAACGATTAAACAATCAGAATGCAACCATGTTGAAAAGATGCTTCATTCCCCGGTCCCTGACTTGTTAGACTTCCATCAAATAAACTGCAAAGCTTCCCCATGCTACTGTTGCATGGGATTGCTTAGGACACAAGTGTGCACCTGCTTACTTATTGCGCTATTTTTTTCCTCCAGCTTCCTGAATGAAAATATATTCCTCTATATTTTAGCATGATAGGAGATCCAATTCTTATGGGTTTATATCAATTTCATGTGGTATTAGCTTGCATTTATGCATTTCAAAATGGTCATAAGAACCTATTTGAACTCTCCCATATTGATCTCTACGTGTATTTTTAAAAGATTTAGCAGGGAACAAATAGAAATGTTTTCAGGATGGGCATATCTGTTCTCTCATAGCGGCATTTTTATTCATGTTAGTGAATGCTCCTGGCCAAAGTAGGCAATATTTCTCTTTATGGGCTCTCTCTTTCAGAATCATACTTCTCTTTGGTCTAAATATTTCCTGGGTACCTACTATACTCTCTTTCCTTCCTCACCAACCCTCACTCCACCTTCTTAATCAAATACAATTTTTGCCACATGTCTGTTGGCAAGCCTTGTTACATTAATCCTTGTTAATGATTTCCTCAAATTGGAATAGGTACAACAAAACTTGAAGCAAGGAAATTAAATCTAAAAATACAGAATTTCAAGTTTTAAATGAAATAAGGGATTTCATTTTAAAATTGGAAGTCACCTTAGATCTCCCCAAATCACATAAAGGCCATATTCTTATTCTTTGTGGAAAACTGACATTGCAAGTTTTCAGTGATGCTCAAACTGAGACTTCAGGCACAGATAAAAATGCACTCTGCCCAACAGCTATTTATAACCCCTTGCTCTCTGTTTAACCCAGGCTTGGCAGAAGAGAGCTTATATAACTTGCCTCCAGGCTCACCATGGTCATTTCTTAAACCTTTAGTGTCTGCCTTGTACTCAGATAAATGATTGAAATGGTGCTCTTTAGAGGACACTGATGTGTAAGTTGTTAAATTCCAAGCAATTCTTTTCTTCTCAGTCCACATACATCCTGCTGTAGCAAACAGTAGACTAGAACACAATGTCCTTCTCCAAATCTGTAAAAAAGTAGTAATTATGAATCTTGAATTCATAATTGTAAATGTAATTGAAGTGTGCTTGAAACACAACTTATTTTCCTTTTTTTGTAACTCTATTTAAATACCCATTTAAGTTTCCTTTCTGCTTGGGTTGTGAAAGTGTGATCTCTACCAATTTGGGGTGTCCTCTGCTATGCTTGTATTCTGGGGCCTCCCTCATGGCTCAAGGGGTTAAGACAGCACTATGAAGCTATCCGCAGCCACTGCAGCATGAGTTCGATCCCCGGTCAGGGAGCTAACCCACATGGCACAGCAGACTCTCCTGTCTCACTTGCTGCTCCCCTCAGCAGTGTATTTCAGTCAATCCACCTGTTCTGCTCCCCAATCTGTCTCTGGTGAACCCTCTCACCCCCACACCTCTGGCCTATAGCCCAGTTCTTATATGCATAAATTTAAAAAAAATATGCATGGTGTTCTGGTCTTCAGGCTTCTCTCAGCCCCACATTTTTTGTTTGAGCTTTACCAAGGAAGTAAAGCAAAAAGTCCTTTGTATTTCAGTCTTGTAAAATAGGGGTTAAATCAACTGTCCTGGCTATTCACTGAGGATTAGTGGGCTGGGGGAGATTGTCCCTCTCAGGGCATCATAATATTTGATTACAACTTTCCATTTTGCTTCTCCCACCCTGGAGAATCTTTAGAAGGTTTGGGTAAGGAAGGTGCTTTGTCTTTACTTACCCTAAACATAATTTTCCCAAATACTCTCTATGCCATGATGTTCCAAAGACTTTTAAACTCAAAAGGCAAGAATTGTTTTTTATTTTTTGTAATCTATCTACCTTATAGGTATGTGCACATATCTGAGGATATTTTCAGTGTATTTTTCCAAAATTAGTTATTAAAAAAGGGTTTTATTTAATGTATAACAAAAGCTCCCTCCAGAAAAATCAGCAGTGTTTGTTAAATTATTAACAGTATATAAGTCCTATTTACTTACATACTTTTTACATCTTTTCCTTACATCTATTTTAAAATACATATTTATCCTTTTTTTTTAAGATAACATTGGTTAACATCATTGTTTATGTTTTAGAAGTATAGGATCTTCCCCTTCAGGTGTTGTTACTACACAGAACCCAGCCCCTAAACACCATAGTCAACCACCATAGTTGCTTTTGCTCCCTCTCCATTTTACTGTCACCCCCACCTTCCCACCCCCACCTCTGGTAGCCTAAGTTCTACAGTCAGATTTTTAGAGTTAGTTCTTGGTTTGACATTATCTTACCCTTTGTTTGGTTTCTCTATATTCCATGAAATTCATTTATAATATTTTAATTAAAAAATGAAAGGCTGTTTAAGTTTTTTTTGGTTTCTAGGGAATTTGAATATTTATTATGTCATTTATTTATTTCATTTGTCCCTGAGTGTCACTTTCCCATTTTGCTTAGATTTCTGTTGTAAGAGCTCTTTGTTTGAAGACTGTTAACAAATTGACTATCATATCCTGAAAAGATATTTTTATGGTTTATTAATTGACCTTTTACTGGCATGTGATATATGAAACTTACTAATTTATAAAGCTGATTTTGTGATTTTTTTCTTGTTATTTTTATTTACGAATTATTTTTACATTTCAGGATGATGATAGTGTTCATTTATGTCTTATGGGTTTTTTTTTTACATTTATGTCTTTTAAAAATATGTCATATTTAGCACTGGCTGTGAGATTGGGACCTACATTATTTTGAGTCATTTAGTTATTGTTCCATCATCATTATTTAATAATTCTTTCCCCTTTGGCTTACATTCCACATTTACCATATAAAAAGTTTTTCCTTTGATGTATCTGTTTCTAGACCTATGTTCCCCTCTATCTCTTACTACACCAATAAGACACTGCTTTAGTCATTGTAGATTCTTAATAAATTTAAATATCTTATAGGGATATTTTTGTCACCACTTTGTAATTATGTCAAAATTTTCCTGACTACATATTTGCACATCTAAATGATATTTAGAAGCCCCATTCTAAATGCTAGAATTATTTCTTAGATTTTCATTGTTTTTTCACATTTTTAAACTTCCATTCAATAAATTCTGTAGCCTAGCAGCTTATATCCTAAACAGCTTATAGCTTAACTATAAGCATAATAAATAATAATGATGGTAATATAGTCCATTTCCATGCCTTCTTGAAATTTCAAACTGAGTATTATTTTCAGATACTCATTTCATGTTTGTATCTCAAGGAAAAGTACTCGAAAGCTCCCCCTCCCCGCTCCTCCCTTTATAAGAACTATCACTGTCTTTTCAGAGTGTGGAAGGAGAACATCATGAAAAAGCTGTGGAACTACTCAAAGCAGCTAAGGACAGCGTCAAGCTGGTGGTCCGATATACCCCGAAAGTTCTGGAAGAAATGGAGGCTCGCTTTGAAAAGCTACGGACTGCCCGTCGTCGGCAGCAGCAGCAATTGCTAATCCAGCAGCAGCAACAACAGCAGCAGCAACAAACACAGCAAAACCACATGTCATAGGTGAGAAGTGCCTTCTACACAAGGGAACTCCCTTACACATACAAGTGTTTTTTAATTTAGTTCTTAGATTCTTGGAAAAAATCATTAGATTTCATAATTTAAAAAATCGATCAAAAATGTAAACAAGATAGTTGCTTCTTTGATGGATCCTTCAGTCAAATATCCTGCAAATGTAAGCTATTTGGGAAAATAATATTCTTGGATAGGGTCAGGTACCTATTTGCGTCTGATACATGTTTTTCTATTGGATGCCTTCACACAAATTGGGAAAACGCAATCTCTGTGCAAACCCAGATTCTCAGACGCATAACTAGATGGCATGAATTTCAGCCCTACTCACCCCTTGGACACGTACCTTTGCCATAGACAGAATAAACAACATTAGTGCTGATCCTGGGCAGATCCCCTTAGAACATTGGAAAGCAGCTCTACTGTAAAGAGCAATGAGGCCTTCCAGTGCCCATGTTCTGAGAGATTTTGAAATTGTCTTTGGATGTGTCAGAGATGCACCTGCCTTTTTCGAAAATCCACTTTGTGATAAAGAATGCTAAACCAGGTTTACTATACATGTTTAAGAAAATTCAAGAAAAATGATAGTAGAATCGGCTTTTAAGTGCTTGCTGTGTACTAAGCCCTTCTCACATGCTATTCCTAATCCTTAGAAAATCCCTTGAAGACGAATACCCATAAACCCTGAGTTTTTAGATTAAGGATGTGAAACTGCAGTAGCTGCAGTAGATTCTCCATAACCATTTGTATAAGCAGCATAGACTTAATTCCTTTCTTACTTGATCAGACATTTAATCTGCCATCTTCAGATATTCTGGTGTTATATAAATTGTTCTTGCCATGATTAGGAAGAGACAGTACTGTATATTTAACTACACTAAGCTGTCGGCAAACATCTATATGAAATGAGGCTCAAATGTTCTTGGGAAAATAACAATAAGTAATGTTGGTATTAAGTCATTCAATATCAGATTGGTATTTGCACAACCAGCAACACTGGAAATGACATGAGGCTTTGAATCTTCTGTAACACTCCTGAAAAGGAGAAGCTGCATGTGGAAATAACAAAGAATATGAAATTTTGTCCTTGACCATCCTGGGAATTAAAAAATCTATGGTTCTTTCATAATCTGTTAGTTTTATAATACATTCTATAGTTTGGTATCTTTATCAAAAATTAAAATACTTTCCCAAAGCTAAATTTATTCCATAATTAATGTTTATTTGGCGATGTTTCTACACAATGAAATTCTCGTACACATAAAAGTGTTTGTTTTTTTTTAAATATAGTTCTTAGATACTTGGAGCAAAAATCATTAGATTTCATAATTTAAAATCAAAAGCAATTATAAAATTCCACTGCTTGATAGGTCAAGCACTTTTCAATGGGTATAGAAACACATGAGCAAAGCAAAACAGTCTTGCTCTCATAGAGCTCACATTGGGTTGGAGGAGATAGCTAACTAGACAAAGTGTTGGGACCAATAGTTTGCAGATTTAAAATAAGCAGCTTTGGTAGATACTTGGAAATTGATGATGAGGGAAGACCTGCTAAGGAAGTGACATGTAACTTAGATTGAATGATGGGAAACCAAGGAATAAGCATAAGAGGAGGCAGTTCAGTAGTTGTAAGGCAGTCATGATCTATTTGATGTTTCAGGAATAGAAAGAAACTGGAGTAGTTAGGAAAGAGTGAGTGAGAGGAACAGTGAAATAGATGGGGGCCAGGTCACAGAAAGCTTTGTAAACCACTGAGGGAAGTTAGATTTTATTGAAATGGAGGTCATGGCAGGCTTTTGAGCAAGGGAGTAACATGATATGATTTATGTATTAAAAAGATCATTCTGACTGCTTTAGAGAGAATAAATTATTGGAGTAAGAGTGGAAACAGAGACCAATTAAGAGGTTATTATATAGCAAGAGATATAATGGCTTGGGTTAGGATAACATAGTTGAGATGAAGTGATATGGATGGATATGCAAAAAGCATTTTGTTCACATTCTCTCCTCTCCATTCCAAATGGAAAGATACTCTACATTGGTACTTTCTGAATACTTTCAAAGGCCCTTTTGCAAATAATAATAATATTCCACTATTTTTTAGTCAGACGTTGACACTCTTACACTGACTCATTTTTCCTTCTATCTTCAATAATACTGATTATGACAGTTGTACTAATTGATTTACCAAATGGGCCCATAGTGAAATTGTCCTGAGGTGTTTAGAAAAAAAATACATTACCATTGAGACTTCTGCAGTCTTGCTAAAAGCCTCCAACATTGTACTCATTCAATCAGCTTTGAGAATATGCAACTTAGCCATAAATATTTGCTGGATCATATACTCAATTCCATTCCTCTGTCCCATCTGTCTTCATTAAATCACTTCAGAATTTTTTATTGTTTTATAACCAACTACTAACATTTTTAATAATAAGCACTACAATCAATATCTTTTCTTGTGCAGGGCATGGGAAAGCTCTCTTTAAGCGAACATGAAATTTATAATTGTGTCCACCAAGACAGCACTTAAAATACACAGGATCATAGACCCTTGAGAAGAAATTTTAGTGACCATTTCAAGTACAAGCAAAATACAACCCAATCATGTCATCCATGTCGATTTTATGGTGAATTCAGTCAAAGATACCCACATTAGCTCTTGTTCAACTTTTAATTAATTGGATTTTTAAGGATTAAATAGAATTTGTTACACTGGCTAACTCATTCTATGGTCTCTTTGAGAAGAGATTTGAAATGAGTTCATCCTATTTACTTTGAACAGACTTCTGCTCAGTTTTTTTTAAGTGTGGTAAGTCAAGCAAAGAATAAAGCAAAGTAGTTTTCAGATAATGTCTTATTCATTGTCATATGGAATACAATTTTGATTCTCTAAATTAGAAAATTTTTTTATCTGCACCAGTGTAAGTTATGGAATAACTAGCAAATGGCAAATACAAATGCGTGCACGTAGTGTGTGGAAAATATCTTTCCTATCTACTTTTAATTTCAAAGTCTTCTGAAGTAAAAATCAATGGTCTTTTTTCCATAACTTCCATGTTTGATAATCAGGAAGACTAAATTACATTGTTTTGAAATATAAAAGACATGATTACAGTTCAACTACATTACATCCATATAAACAGAATATGGATATGTTAGGGGGAAAAGGATGTCCTAAAGCTAATTCCATACAGGCTTTGTGGACTCCACACCCACCCCAGGCCAAAGTCAAAGCCACTGGGAACTCCAAATCCCATCACCACCAAAGGGAAGGTGGCTGAGACCTGAGGGTGGGGTTAAGCAGCCAGGTTGATATAAAAGCAGACATGTGGGCTTTGGGGATCCCCATTTTGGCTCTCCGCCAGCTCGCAGCGTCCAGCCAGCTCTGAGAGTGACTTTGGGTTTCCAGGTCGTCGGATCGGGTAGGACGCATTAAAGACTTTATTTCCCTATTTTCTCCCTGAGTTGTACATTTTCCTTATTTCCTTTTCCCTTGTAAATAAACCTTTTATTAACCTTTTGTGTGTGCCTGTAGTGGAGTATTAATAAGTCCCTTTTAAGCGCGCGGGTGAGGACCCACAGCCAGGAACCCGTTCAATATCGGGGCTGCTCTATAACAGATACAGCTTTTTCATGCTACACACATGATTTGAGAAAAAAAAGTTTCATTTATAGAACTGTAAGCGTCTCAATTTTAAAGTGTGATTTCATGTATACCCATATTTTACCCAAATTTCCAAAGAATAAAAGTATGAAGGAAGAGGTATAAGTTCTGAAATGTCAACATTCTGGGGAAGTCTAGAACAAAAGCAGGTTTAACTTCTCTGACCTCCAATTGCTGGAGCTAGGGTAGATTCACATTTGAAATCATACTGCATCTTATAAAGTAGCTGGCATTTGCCAGTGGCCTCACTGACTTTGTATTCCTTCCTGCACTTATTTTGTCCACTACTGACTGTTCTATACCTTCCACTACCGCTGCAACACTTCAGGGACCCAGTGCCAGAATTCTGAGCCCAGTTTGCTGAAAGGACTGAGTCCAAAAGATGACTGATAAAACTGAACTCAAAGCCAGAAAGCTGAACTAGAAATAATAATCACAACGCTGGATAAAATTTATTAAGCGATTAGGGCATGCCAAGGACTCTCCTAAGTGCTTTGTATATATTAAACGACTCAATCTTCACAGTAATCCTATGAAGATTAGCTACTACTTTAATCACTTTTTAAAGAAAAAACTGAGGCATGTAGGATTTTTTTAAAAATCTGCACGTCATTTCACTGCTGTAATTCAAGCCCATAAATATGGGCTTCCAAACCTTTTTCTCTTATCACTGCCTAACTTTGCTTCATTATTTAATGGAAACTGTCCTTAAATTCTCCTGCCTTGCTTTATAGACACATTCACATAAGCTTTCAAGAATTCATTCTCATACTGCATAAAGTCGTAGTTACCTTCTCACCATCACCGCTCACCTCCAAAACAGTACCACATAAGTCAAAGCACTTCATCATCACAGCTGTATTTGTTTCCTATTACTGTGCTAAAACATTACCACCAATTTAGTCATTTAAAAGAACACTAATCTATTACTTATTCTGTAGGGCAGAAATACAGCAGTCTCACTAGGCATTAGGTGTCTCTAAGGGAAAATTTATTTCTTTGCCATTTCCAGCTTCTAAAGGCTGCCCACATTTGTTGCCTTGTCATTCCATTTTCAAAGTCAGTCATGGCAGGTGAGCCCTCACATTGCCTTCTCTGACCTCTGCTTCCATCATCACAGCCCTTTTCTTCATGCTTTCCTTTCTCTCTCTTCCACCTTTAATTGCCTTTTACATAATTTCATAATCTAGGATACTCTCTCTATTTCAGTATGAGCTGTTTAGCAACCTTAATTCCATCCACAGGACCTCCTGGTGGCACAGGGTTAAAGACAGGGCTTTCAAGCTATCTCCAGCCACTGTAGCACTGCACCAGTTTGATCCCCTGGCAGGCCAGGGAACTGACCCACATGGTGCAGCAGACCCCTCCTGCCTGGCCCACTGCTCCCCTCAGCAGTGTATTTCAGTAGATCCTCCTGTTCTGTTCCCCACCCTATCTCTGGTGAATCCTCTAATCCCCACACCCCCCAAAAAAAATTCCATCCACAACCTTAATACCTTAATTCCCCTTTACCTTGAAATCTAACCTTTTCACAGTTTCCAGAAATTAAGAGGTGGGCATATTTGGAGGATGATATTCTGCCCATCACAATGGTCATTTAATAGTAGCAAAACAATTTGATCAATAAAATTTATACTAATATGGGAAAGAGGCTTTACTTTTAGAATAAATTAAAGAAAGAATCACTAACCTGTTGGATTTTAAATTATGAGACTGAGGGAGATAATGAGAACATTTGGAGCAGATGAGTGTTTCTATGACCCCTATATTGGATGCCGGTGCCCTCTCAGCTGTCAGCACATCCCTCAAGCAGCTTTCCCTCTGGGTAGACAAAGACCTCCAAGACTCACTAAAATTCACCTGCCCTGAGTACCATTCCATGCGGACAAGTAACTCTATCATAAATTAACTCATTCAAAACTCAGTCACCAAATCTCTGTTACTGGATAAGCAAATAAACTTTGGGAATTTATTCAATATAAGATCCAGTAAAAGAATTCTTGTGGAAATTAAACAAGAAAGAAGTATGTAAGACTCAGCAAAATAGGGGGCGGTTAGTAAGTGCTCAATAAATTCTAGCTAATAGTAGTATCAATGCTAGTGGTGTAGCAGTTAAAATGTTAATGCTAGATAACTCTCATATGTGATGTCTGGGTGATTAGAGAAAAAACAATGGCCTAATTTGTGGCTTTCAGTTCCACCCTGTGGGCCTCCCGGGCTTGAGGGCACATCTCTTGAAGGCATAGTAGCCAGACAGATTATAAGGTTCATCTACTTACACAGTAGACAGAACAACTTGTTAGAATCTGTCTTCTATATGATGTTCTGCATCCATGGAAAAACATCTGCATCTTTAAAAACAAAGATTGAAAACCACTGTTCTTTCTGAAGGAAATGACTCCTTGATGGAGGGAGAGTGACAGGTTTGCAGGGAATGTTTGCCCCCTGGGGGAATATTTGCTCCCCTTGGTCTGACCTTAAGGTAGCAAAGTACTCTGCTCTACTCAGGTGACCTTGTGGGAGGAGAAATGGGCCTAATATCTGCTTCAGAGAAGGGAGAAAGGTGCTTTCAGTCTATCAAAGGGAGGCTTTGCTGGTTTGTACCTCAATAAAGACACTAAGACTCACCCTCCATTCAAAATATAAGGAGTATCTATTTTTTGACTTCGTGCAGGAAAAAAAGTCATCTGGAATTGGAAGGAAGGAATGTTTTTACATTTGAAATGTTTCCAAACTAATGTTCTTTATTTCATTTTAGGAATAACTGTATCTTTTGCATCCTCATTTGATAATTACTTCCTTTGCAAAAATCAAACATTTTTTTTCATATGTGGAAGATGGTGCATGAATGATAGCGCCCAAAATAATCCTTGCTGTTCTCACACAGCACATGCTCTTTTGATATTTTTAGCATATTGTAGTTGACAAATGAATACTAATCACCGATTTCTCTGCAATCTCTTCTCCCCTTTCAGGTCCTTGAAGAAAAGCTACTTGATCAAACATCTGATAGTCACAAATTTGAAGTCGTGCTTCAGAATCCCAGCACATAGTAAAAGGAGGAAAAAAAAACCCACACTGATAATTATACCTGTCAAGAAGCTGTGAACACGTGGTGTATAAATTCTTTACCAAGGCAACTTGACACCTTCTTTCTCTGAGTCTGAACCCCCACTTTTCCCATACTCTTTACACACACAGACCTTCCATTCATGCAGTGAGGATTCTTCGTGTGTAAAGGTAGCGGTTTGCCAGTCTACACACTGAAACAGTACAGGATGTATAAAGTCTATGACTTTCAAAGAAATCACCAGGGCCAGGATTAAGTGAATCCTTGGTCTATAGTTTTTCCAGAGATTAATAATCCCTCATTAGACTATAGTTCAAACTGCATCAGTTCAAGGGTGTCACCACTTAAAAGAAACCCACACATCGCCCCTCAACCCACCCTTTTCCACCTCCATTTTGCTGAGTTGTCTGAATTAGAACTCCAGTCACTTGCAAAGTCAAACTCTATCCACCCCCCTCCACACACAGAATGGCAAGTTATGGTATTTATACTCTTCAGATTCTAGAAGCAATTGGCTTTTTATTTTTTGTTTCCATGAATTTTATTATGCATTAATAGAGTGGGGTGATTTCAGCTCAACTTTTAGTTTGTTAGAAGCAAAGCTAGAGAAATCTAGTACTGTATTTTTTTTTTAGTTTAAGTATTGCTTGTATCTATTATTATTAATTCTAATAGAATATAATGTATATTTATTCCACAAAGTATATATTATCAGAGTGTATTTGTTACAAACTTAGGCCTTTTCTTACCCAGTGTTATGAATCTGGTAAGAGAATATTAGCAGGCACCTAACTTCATGAACTGAGCGCATATGATATTTATATATAACCCTGCTCTCAATATTTTTTGTTAAGTTTTATATTTTTGATTGATAAACTCTGAAGAAATCTAAACTCTTTCTATTTACATTGACATGCTGTCATAGAAGTCTATCTGATATTTTAAAGCTTAGGGCTTAAAAGCAAGATTATAATGTATGTGCATATATAAATAAATATATATGTCATACAAGGTTTAATGAGTTTTTCCAAATATAATCAGGTATTTTTGGCAATCTGAGATCAAAAGTGTTAATTTTCTGAAAATTAGGCATATGGAAACCAGTGATATTAATATTATGAATGAAAACTTGCTGCTGCTTCTTGAAAATATACTTACTTCATTACACATATTAATCTAGCTAAATAGTCAGTGAGCTATCATCTTTCAGAAAGTATCATTTACTAGAAAATGATCTGATAGTGTTACCCATACAGATTATAATTTTTGGATTATGATAAAATCGAAGCACATAAATCTTGTTTTGCTCTATGGAGTGACTAAGAAGCAATAATTATTTGGGCTCTTAAATCCCCTAAGCACACACATACTGGAAAAAAATAAAAAAACAATATCCAGTTGAAACATTCTTGATAGATCGCTAAAACTGGCAAATTTGAATATTTCTTCTGAAATGCAGAATTTGAATCGTTAAGATACAATATATTTTACACTTAAAGTAGTCCTCCAAATTAAATATTTATCAGTTTAGACCCCTCTTCTTGAAAATAAAATGAAACCAATTGGAACTACTCAGCATATTTTAATTTCCCCGTTGGGTGGTACTTTTGTTAACACCAATTATGCCTGCTCTTTATAATCACCCAGCAGAAAACAAACAGCAAGGAAAGGAGGAGGAGGTAAACCAATTTCAGCATTGACCTGTTGTGACAACAGATCCCCATCCTTGAAAACATATCATTTTTTACAAGTGAGAACTGGTGGGAGGTGGGAGGGAGAAGGGGGTAGGACCCTGAATGTTATGTAAAATAGGTTTACAAAAGAGACAAGCATGAGGGAATGAATGGAGACTACGTGAGTATTATTCAGTTTGAAAGCAGTAGTTCTCATTTTTATAAGAAAAATTTAATATAACATATATTTAGTTACCATTTAACAAAGAAATAAAGCTATTCAGGCGATGCCACAGATTCTCAAGAAGGGAAATGGTTGCACCCTTGTCATGAGAATATGGGCACTTCAACACATTTCAATACATTGTATAAATTTGGAGCTTAAGGTATGTTTTCACCTAGCTGTGTTTGGTTAATATTTAACATGTGTTTCATATCAATATAAATATTGTCATAGTATTACAGCAGCAACTATCAAATGAGCAGATAACTTACATTTGTGTTTTCTAAAAGTCTGTATCTCATGCTCTGTTTGCATAATGTTAAGTGTGAATAAATGTATGTCAAGTTGTTTATGAAAGTAAAGGGACAGTGTATCACACCTAAGGTATGTAAGGACAGATTACAGGTCACAGAGGTCCTAGGTACAAATGACCAGTCACATGGCCAGTCTTCTTCAGTAAAATCTGGTTACCAAAATTTAAGCTTTGCCCTAGAGGTTTAATCCAAAATAGCCATCCCTCAGCTTAGAGGGGCCCCTTGTGGTTCTCTAGGGTTCACTGAAGCCAGAGGAAAAGGGAAAAAAATACCACAACTTAGTGTTGACTTTTTATTAATGATCACATTAGAGCCACTGACATGCTCAAAATCACATTAAAATAGAGACTTTGTTCTACTTCTACATGAAGCTCAATCTCTGATGCCATCAACAAATCAATATTTAAAAGTCAAGGGTGAATTCTGTTGTGACTATGTATCAGTAATCCTGGTGAATGAATTTTAGTTCTTTCCCCTGGACAGGTTGATGACCATGTTCTTCTAAACTCTTTACCATTATGATTTTGAAGGCGAATGCATGGTTCAATATATATATATATATAAACTTTTCTATTGGCAGTTACATTTTGATTCATTTCCATTTGAAATAGGGCATCCTCAGGGAGATAATGAGCTTAAATTACAATTGACTTTGGAAAGAATAACAGACTATTGTGCTTCTTCAATCATGTAATCAATGAGGAACTCTAATGATGATGTGAACCTCCACTACCCTTTAAGACAATACTAAGATCTAAATGCAAAATCAAGCATTCAGGGGATTTTTAAGAATTCAAGATTGTCTCTGAAGAACTTGGTTAGAGATGGATTACACCAATTTACAAATGCACCACTCCATCATGGCAAATCAAACTGATCTGATTTCATTTCATTTTACTGAGCTGTGCCTATAGACTTCAAGACATTGGGATATTTTCTCTACATTATATAAAGCATCCATAGACATATGTGGGTATGCAAATAATGCCTGAATTTCTAATACTCTAGCTAGTTTTTTTTTTTTTTAGCAATATAGACATAGCCTGTTAGTAAGACCAGTTTAGACAACAGCATGATATAAAAACCAATACTTAGAAGATTTAGTGAAGTCGACATACAGCAAGATTTCCCAAAACATTGGACAGTCTCACCCATCTCAACCTCCCTTCAGATCATAACTCCTTGAAAAAAAGGGCTATGATTACCTTGTGGATTGCCATACCCCTGGCATCTGGTATAATGCCCAGCACAGTGGAAACTCTAGATATTTGTGGGATGAATGAATCACTTAATAAGTAGATAGACATATAGATAAAGTTTGCTTTCTGATAATTTCAAAAGCTGATTAGCACTATAACTGCTGAATTTCATTGACCCAGAGTTGGTGCTTTGTAAAGCTCATAAAATATGTACCTACATACATATGTACACACATGCAGATATATGAATTTGGAATCAATTACTTCAAAGAATTTAAGGGTTCTTTGTACAAAGAATAATGTTTGGGGATTCAGAGTTTCGACAATGAGTAAACTCAACCTTTCCAATTTTCTTTTTGAGAGTTCTTTGTGTTATTGACAACGGTGATCCAAACATGGAACTCTATATAAGTTTTATAAATGATTATGTCTTCCTTTTTTTAAAAAGAAGAATCACATCATCAAACATTATTAATAATTGCCTTCAATATTAATAACTTTAAGGAATTCATAGCAATTGGAGGCACCATCCCTAAATCAACTGCAGCTATAAAAGATTACCTCTCCCTTTTTTAAAGATCAAAGCAACTTTATTCCTGTCGTGAACACAACATTCATCATGAACATTTATGACAGAAATCTGATTTCATGTGGACATAAGAATGATCTGTAATTAACATCACTTCTCCTTTCACAATTGATTCCTAAAATGTACTGAACTAAAGATTCATGACATAGCTATTAAAACTTTTCCTTGTGTTTATTCATTTAGCAAATATTTATTGTGTACTTGGTATGTGCTAGGTACTAGAAATACAATGACAAACAAGACAGACATTTTACCCTCATGGAGCATATGTAAGAAAGTCCTTAAAACTGAGTCTAGCAATAAATAGAGTTTACTGTCCAGTGGATACGTCTTCATACCTGATGGAAGAAATCCATAACCCCATTAAAAACACAAAAGACTCCCTGCACCCATGTTTATGAACCTTGCTTTTCTAAACACACCACTCAAAAACATTGTTCAGTTTATCCTTGCATCATAATCAAACCCCAATACGTAGGTAAGAAATAACTTATTCATAACATTTATTTAGCTCTTACAAGTTCTTCTGTTTTCAGTGCTGTCATACATTATCTTACTGAATCCACTCAATGACTCTACCTAGTAGATTATAGACAAGAAAACTGAAGCACAGATAGGTGATTTGTCCAAAGTCACATCACTTTCAGATGAAAATGGGATTTGAATGCACTCAGTGTAAAAAAAGAGCTCATGTGTCTTAACCATTATCTGTAATTTGGGGGACACCATTAAAATGAATCATTAAATTGAGTCACTATCTATAAAAGTACTCTAAAACGGTCAAGTAGTTTCCAAAAGATGTTAGTAAAGTATTACAGACAACAAACCACATTGATGAAAAAACCAGAGTGATAATTCAATCTATGTTACAGCTCACTCTCTGAAGATTACTTTAAGCCAGGGACATGGATGAAAGTACAGATCCAGAAAATGTCTGGCATGTGATAAATATTTCAATGACTTTTCAGAATTATTTATTGTTAGTCACTGTGTCTATTTGGTGCTACAAAAAACAAACAAACAAAAAAAAAAACCTGAAAGAAACAAAATCCCTTGCTGTAAGGGCTTATAGTAAATACACAGTGTGGAGATGGATCAAGGATATTAAGCATTGACAGAGAAGGATTGGGCAATAGTACTATTTTCTCACCATTGCATGTGATCATGTCTTTCCAATTGTTTTCAATATTTTTCTGAAAGAGCTGCAAACTTGTGCAGTGATTCAACTTGACCAA